CACACACACACACACACACACACACACACACACACACACACACACACCAATTTTCTTTAAATCAATTCGCTTTTTGTACTATAAAATGTATGCTAAAAGTGCTTAAAATGACTTTTACTAACTCATGAGACAACATGGTAGTTTTTTTGTTGATCTTTTTTTTTTTTTATGAGACAGGGTCTCATGTAGCCCTTAAACTTTTTATGTAGCCAAGGATATCCTTCAACTACTGATCTTCCTGTCTCTACCCCCCAAATGCTGGAACTACCACTGTGTGCCAACATGTTCAGCTTCAAAATAGCATAATCGTAAATAAATTTTGCTGGGGCTAGAGATGTAGCTCAGTAGAGTACTTGCCTAGTATAGGAGAAGCTCTGGGTCCTGTTATCAATACCATGGTGGGGGAGAGTGCCAAACGAAAGAACCCAGATCCAAAAGTCTCCATATTTGTAAAAGTTCCAGGTACAATATTAACATAGGCAAAACTTTAAGGATAAAAACCTATCAGTGATTGACAGGGAGTTGTCAACAAGGAAAAGGCTTATCTATAAAGGGCTAACATGGAGATCTTTACAGCAATGAGATGCTTTGTATGAAAATGAAATAATAATACACCGTATTATTTATACCCGGCCACACAATGACTCATCAAAACTGTGGGTATAAACACAAAGATGAAATGGAAATGTGACAAGTCTGACAAATGAATCACAGAGCCAACAATGAGAGAACGGGCAGGAGTTCTGACAACATAAAGCTAAAAAGAGGGGGAGGGGATGGCACACATCTTTGATCCCAGCACTGGGGAGGCAGAAGCAGGCAGTTCTCTGGGAATTCGAGGCCTGGTCTATACAGAGCAAGTCCAAGACGCCAGGGCTATTACACAGAGAAACCCTATCTTGAAAAACCAAAACCAAAACAAACAAAATAACAAAAACAAAAACAAAGAAAAAACTTGACACAGAACAGTTAGTTGTTTCTAGAAGAAATGACCAATTTAAAAATAAAAACTGCTGTGCTGGATAGATGGCTCAGCAGTTAGGAGCACTGTCTGCTCTTAACTAGACACGGGTTCAATTCCCAGCACCCACATGGCAGCTCACCACTGTCTATAACTCCTGTTCCAGGGATCCCACCCCCTTACATGCAAACAAAACACCAATGTACATAAAAAATTAATAAATTAAAAAAACTGCCTACTGTAAATTGCCTGTTCCTATGAGGAGAGAAAATCTGCACCACCTACTTAGTGATATTCTGCTTTGCCAATAAAAAAGGGCAGCTATGTGAAACCTAGTGAAGCTTCTTTTCTTTCTGCCTCGCCAAATTCTATAAAAAGGCTTTGAGTGTTTGGGAACATCTGAGTTTTGGGGTTTGGAGACACTAGAACTTAAACTGTCTACCATGGTTACTATAAAGTCACTCTTCCTATAGGTTTTAGAGTTGCATTCAAAAAAACTTATCACTAGATAACACTGGCATCTTGTTTTTATTCCGGTCTTCATTACCATGTTTCTTAAGAGTTCTATGCTACTCAGCTGCCCCAAAAGATATATCTAAGGCTGCAGAGCAAGGCAACTAACTATGTGCCACTTCCTAACATACTTTTTTGCTTCATATGAAGTGCCTGTTCTCAGACACTGAAAACTTGTAAGATAATTACAAGAACCCATTTCTTCCAGGGGAACAGATTAGGATAGTAGGAATGCCTTCAACAAAAGATCGTTTAAGAAACCAACACTTGATGCAGTGGTTACTGACAAGATGAAAATTTGTGTCTAAAAGGCATTACACAACCCTGCTTTACAATTCCTCCATCACATTTGAACCTGAAACACAGCTGTGAACAAAAACCCATCATAGCAGTACATGCATGAAATGGTCAGGGCTATCATGAGCTATTATGGTAACAACTCCATCTAACCCAAACTCTCACCAAAGTAAAAGTATTTAAAACACAAAATCTGTCCTCAATTACACTAATTATAAGTTTACCTTCACTTTAAAATTCTTTACTGTCTCCTAACATTTCAAAAGGTTGATCACTCTGTCTTTGAAACCAGAAATGTCTGAGTTCTGAAGACAGAACAAAGACAGGTGCTGAGGAGGAGCCCTGTAAACATGTAAGACCTGAGGCCAGGAGACTGTGGGCTAACAGTAAAAAGTTAGAGCAGAGTTCTGAAACTGCAGGACAGTCTTAGGAATGAAGACCGAGGCATGGGGGCATACAGGGGGTGTGAAGCTCAGAGCTGCTAAGACTACGAAGAGGTCATGACTGCTCACTATCAAACCTAACCCTATACTTCCGAGAGCTACCAAACGAGAAATACACTACTTTCTATTCCACCTCTCCACCTCTTCTTTTTCTCAGAATGAAGAACCTTTTCTTGGAATCGAAACCCCCAAAGAAAGACACTCATATATTAGCACTGGGCAGCTCTTCAACAAAACAGCAGCTCTGCACCTCAGTCAAGGAAAGCCCAATACTTACAACTTGGCAAGGACCCCTACAACACAGACCTACCAAACAGTCTTTCAACTTTAAGAATAGACAGTGAAGGATGGTCAAATTTCACTCAAATATGAAGAACAAAACAAAACAACAACAAATGACAAGCTAAAAACAAAGGAAATTGAAAGGATAAAAGAAATCTGTCATGACCAAGAAGCAAACCAGGTGTTTCTAAAATTAAAAATACAGCCAAAATCTAATAGAAAGATAAAGAAATCATTAGAGAACTTTGCCAAGTCATTAAGAAAAAATGGAAGACAGCTGAATCTAGCTAACTCAAAACAAAACAAAAACAAAAAACGAAATTCCACATCTACCAATAACTCAAGAAAATGAAGAGAACATGAGAAATACTAAAGGAAAAAAAAAAAGATACCAACATATTACAACATCAGAAAGTATCCCAGAAACCTCAAGAACAAAAGTCAGTGGTGGCAGCATCTGATGCCATCATTGCAGACAGCAAGCTTACAGCCAAGGGTACAACATTTTAAAAGTTCCAGGGCAAATTTCACTTAAGAATTCTGTGGCACATGCCTTTAATCCTAATACTAGGGAAGCAGAGGCAAGCAGATTTCGATGAGTTTAAGGTCAGTGGGGTCCACATAGTGAGTTTTCAGGACATCAAAGCTACATAGTGAGACCCTGTCTTTGGGTAGGTGGGGGTGGAGGGATTCTATATGAATATAGCATTTTGTTTACCCAGACAAGATCTAACACTTTATCAGGAACCTACTAGAAGATTTCAGACATGCATGCATACCAACACAGAAATATATAGAGAATGCAGATGCAACCACTGGAGCTGAAGGTTAGGGTTAGGTATAGCTGAGCAGCAGGGACCTTGCCTGGCATGTACATGTCCTAGGTTTAATCTTCACTATCACAAAAAAAAAAAAAAAAAAAAAAAAAAACAGAGAAGGAACAGGTAAGAGGAGAACGGAGAGAGAATATGCATTCATTCTTCTACTTGGTAAGTAGCTGAGTGGCAAATATACCTCAACCCCAGGGAACCAATAGAAAAGAGAACTGACAGGCCCAAAAGCAAAGACCAAGTCACCAGATGTCGAATTGAATGAAGCTGCTGAAAAGCTAAGGGGCTGGAGAGATGGCTCAGAGATTAAGAACACTGTCTACTCTTCCAGAGGTCCTGAGTTCAATTCCCAGTAGCCACATGGAGGCTCACAATCATCTATACTGGAATCTGGTGGGTGTATATGCAGACAGAGCACTCATTAAATAAATAAATGAATGAATAAATGAATAAAATCCTTGCTGGGCATGGTACACTCGCCTTTAATCCCAGAAGGCAGAGGCAAGTGGATCTCTGTGAGTTCAAACTCTACAAAGGGAGTCCAGGACAGCCAAGAATACACAGAGAAATCCTGTCTCCAAAAA